TTCTTCTTCTTCTTCTTCTTCTTCTTCTTCTTCTTCTTCTTCTTCTTCTTCTTCTTCTTCTTCTTCTTCTTCTTCTTCTTCTTCTTCGTCTTTCAAGACAGAGTCTCTCTGTGTAGCCTTGGCTATCCTGGAACTCACTCTGTAGATCAGGCTAGCCTCAAACTCAGAGATCTGTCTGCCACCTCCCAAGTGCTGGGATTAAAGGCGTGCGCCACCACTGCCTTACAAAAGTGCACACCTTTAACCCCAGCACTCGGAGGCAGAGGCAGACAGATGGCCTGTGAGTTCAAGTCCAGTCTGCTCTACATAGTGAGTTCCAGTTTCAGGCCAGCCAAGGATACATACTGAGACCTAGTTCTCCTTACCTTCCCTGCAAAAAATCCCAAAATGTATTTTGTGCTTGTGTGTATACATGTACATCACAGCATGTAAAAGCCAGAGGACAACTTGTGGGAGTCGGTTCCCTTTCCTCTACAATATAAGTCCTAGACTCGGGTCCTCAGGCTTAGCAGCAATCACCTCCACCCACTCAGCCATTCCACTGGCCACTGATTAATTCTTGGTTGTTTTTTTTTTGGTTTTGTTTTGTTTTGTTTTGTTTTTCGAGACAGGGTTTTTCTGTGTCGCTTTGGCACCTTTCCTGGAACTCGCTCTGTAGCCCAGGCTGGCCTGAAACTCACAGAGATCTGCCTGCCTCTGCCTCCCAAGTGCTGGGATTAAAGGCGTGCGCCACCACCACCTGGTTCTTGGTGGATTCTTGAGATAGGGTGTCCTGTAGCCCTAGTGGGCACAAACTCACTGTGCACCCAAAGTTATCTTGAACTTCTGACTCCCCTGCCTCCACCTCCAAGAGCTGCAGTGATGGACAATTGGTGACTCTCCTGGCTGGGACTGGGTAGGTGCTGGGCTGTGGCATCTCAGCTGGCTTTGGCCTTGACTCCATTGCCTTGGCTGCAATGGGTACTTAAGCCTCATTGGTTCTGTTTATCTGTAAAATGGGTGGCAGTTAGCACCTCCTCAAGACTTCCCGATCCCTGGATGTCCTAGAGGCTTAGGGGTTGTGGGGTTCCATCCCATGCCTGACAAGCCTCTCTCTTTGACCCTAGACACAGCTGTGATCAGCCCCCAGGACCCCACGCTTCTCATAGGCTCCTCTCTGCAAGCTACCTGCTCCATACACGGAGACACGCCCGGGACCACGGCCGAGGGCCTCTACTGGACCCTCAATGGGCGCCGCCTGCCCTCAGAGTTATCCCACTTACTCAACACCTCCACCCTGGCCCTGGCCCTGGCCAACCTCAACGGATCCAGGCAGCAGTCGGGGGACAACCTGGTGTGTCATGCCCGGGATGGCAGCATTCTGGCTGGCTCCTGCCTCTACGTTGGCCGTAAGTGGGGCCCCAGGACACCCAGGGCCAGGTCTCTGGGAGAAATGGCGAGTTTGGAGAGGAGAGTATGGGCCCTGTTTCGGGGCGGAGCCACAGGCAGGCTGGGTTGGAAGTGAGCCTGCATGCTGGCATGGTCACACCCTGGACAGGCACTGAGCTCTGGGGACAGCCGTGACGCCACTCTTCCGTGTGTACCCAGCTGCTTCTGAAAAGCTGTCACCTTGCCCCTCACAGTTCCCCCTGAGAAGCCTTTCAACATCAGCTGCTGGTCCCGGAACATGAAGGACCTCACTTGCCGCTGGACCCCGGGTGCACATGGGGAGACATTCTTACACACCAACTACTCCCTCAAGTACAAGCTGAGGTTGGTGCCCAGCCCAGTCTTGCTGTGTGACTTCAGGCAGATACTTGCCCTCTCTGGTCAAATGTGTTCCTGTGGAAGCCCTGAGGCTGCAGAAACTAGGTGTAAGGACTAAAAGGGGACTCTCCTGCCTCCACAGGTGGTATGGTCAGGACAATACATGTGAGGAGTACCACACTGTGGGCCCTCACTCCTGCCACATTCCCAAAGACCTGGCCCTCTTCACTCCCTATGAGATCTGGGTGGAAGCCGCCAACCGTCTGGGCTCAGCTCGGTCTGATGTGCTCACCTTGGACGTCCTGGACGTGGGTGAGCCCCCATTGTCCACCCGGTCTTCTGCCCCAGACCCAAGAAGGGCCTTCCCCTGGAGCTTGTTGATTCTTCTAGGGATCTGACCCCAGCCATGGTAGTTGCAAGGCGGCGGCGGGTGTCCACACCTTCCCCCCAAGACAGTCAGGATCCCCCCACTCTTCAGAAAACACCTGGCCTTATTACTCCCCCCCTCAGCAGCCCAGGTGTTCAGGAGGGGGTCCTGGGGGATCCAGGAGAGGGCGCCCAGGTCGGGAGGCGCCCCAGGAAGCCGAGGCCTGGAGCTGGGGGGTGAGGGTGGGAGGCAGGAAGTGGATGATCCCTGAGCAGAATTGGGCCTAATCTAATTAGGGTGTTCCCAGCCCAGAGCAGCCTGGGCCACTTAACCCTTTCAGAGCCTCGCCGAGGACTCCGGGAGAGATCAGCTTGTACTCTCTCCACGGTCCCGCAGAAGGTCCTGGGTGCTCCTGGCTTGTTCCCACACCCCAGTCCCCTTGTCTCTTCTTGGCATCCTGATGTGCCATCTGACCCTCAGCTGTGCCCCGTGGCTGGCAGAGCTGCTCTTGGCAATGTGCAGGGCAACAGAAGTGGACGTGAGGTGGGGTACCTATGGATGGAGCCAGACAGCAGCCTAGGGTGGCTGAAATATGGTAACACTTGTCATCCTGGTGCTCAGGAGGCCCAGGCAGGAAGATCACAATTGCCGAGGTCAGCCTGGGCTACATAGTGAGACCCTGGCTCAAAACATAGACAATAGCTTTAGCCGTCAGCCAGTGACTTGATACTTGGAGTGGGACTCAGGGCCTCCCAGGTGCAGGGTGATGCTCACAGGTGCTGGGTGATACAGGTGCAGGGTGATGCTCACAGGTGCAGGGTGATGCTCACAGGTGCAGGGCGATGCTCACAGGTGCAGGGTGATACAGGTGCAGGGTGATGCTCACAGGTGCAGGGCGATGCTCACAGGTGCTAGGTGATACAGGTGCAGGGTGATGCTCACAGGTGCAGGGTGATGCTCACAGGTGCAGGGTGATGCTCACAGGTGCTGGGTGATACAGGTGCTGGGTGATGCTCACAGGTGCAGGGTGATGCTCACAGGTGCAGGGTGATGCTCACAGGTGCTGGGTGATGCTCACAGGTGCAGGGTGATGCTCACAG